CAGCAGGAAGGACTGAGCAGGAATTTCCTTCCATCATGGAAGCACATGGTCAAACAAGTACAAGTGGGCTGGAAGAGTGTTTGGAAGGAAAGGTGTCCCCTCAGACCCTCTGGCTCTCCATCATGCTTGGTTGTATTGCCAGAGCATGTGCATGTGTCAGTCACCAGAGATTTTGTCTGTTGGATTAACACACAGAGGGTTGCCTTCTCTGCACAAATTTCCACAGTGAATCCTAAAACCTTGTGCCATCCCTTCAGATCTGGCTTGAGATTGCTACAACGTAAATCTGAGACAGGAGGGATCCATTTCAAATCACCTTCCTCCCTTGCCATGGATGGCTGGCTCCAGGAAGGGCAAGGCCTCAGAACAGAAACATGCACTTGAGTGCGTTACTCTTTAGTTACTACTCCAAAAAGTAGCTTTTGAGTCTAGCAAAGACTTTTCTGTGTGAATCTGATAACGTAGGCCAGGCAAGATAAGAAAGTCCACAGAGGAATGGGGCATAGTGAGGGACATGGAGTTAAGCATAAAAGCAACTCAGCTTCCTCACCTTTGCAACCTACAGGACTACTGAGGGCCCTTCACTTCCCTTCGTGGATCTGAAGATTAGGTTGGCTGCCTCTGCCTTTGGGAAGGTACTTTTAGCAAAGGGCAAGGCATGCAGCTGAAAGAAGCAACTCATGAAACAACTTAGTATGAACATTTAGATGTCACTGGAGGACTCTACAGCATGTCCAAGCCACACCTCAGGTGGCTTAACAGTTCAAATAGTGTTGATCTTCTGCCGATTCACTCTTGACTTCAGTGCAGAGCTTCCTACAAAAAGTCACCTTATTTCTGAGAGTATAATCCCACATGTGCTATTTTCAGTAGCAGTCCCTCACCTCCAGGCCCTCTGACCTGCCTGTCATTGCTCCCCAAAGTGTACTGGCAGTTGTGATGTGAAAGCTGTACAACATGTCTCAGATGAACTTAGCCCAGATATCTTGGCTGTCCTCTGGGTAATTAGCTGTGCTTACCAAGTTCCTGTTTGTGTTTCAGCAGGCTAAATGCGGAAGGATAAAATAGCCAATCTTTACTGCCTCAAAAGGAAGAGGTGATGCAGCCCTTAACAATGCAGCTGCAGCCAAACAGTTGTCTCCTGTCCACTCCAAACTGACTTTCATTTTCCCACCCCAACTTTGCTTAACAATGAACCCAAGCAAGAAAGTCAAACCTGGTACAGTCAATTAGGTGTGTAAAAGACCACTTATGAGTGCTATGGATAGTGCAGAACATGCTATAGTAGCAATGCCTACTCATGTTTTGTTTCTAGGCTAAAACATGAGGACCTATCTCCAACACACCTAGTCTACATCCCTGGAAATCAGACTTGACCTAAGTGCCACCTTTCGCTAGATAGCCCCTGAAATCTTGGTTTCTCCCTTGTCCCCCAGAACACCAGCGGATGAAACAAGAGGCCGGTGGGTCGGAGGTGGTGCCGCCCACCTGAGCACGAAGTCGTGGCTGTCGATGTCGCGGCCGTACTGGGCCTGGCGCAGGTTCCCCGAGTTGCCCACGACGGCGCAGCGCCGGCAGGTGGCGGTGCCGCGCTCCT